AGATGACAAATCTTCTGCTGTCGAATCCTTCGCTAGTTTCAGCTTCATTAACACCTGAAGTTTTAAAACCCTACGATTTCCCATTCTCATCCTCAAACTCCTGACTCCATGACTCACAATACGTGACCAAGCTTCATCATCGCCCCCCCCCCCCATTAATAAATTAATAACCCCCCAATTAATCCTCTGACGACACCCCCGAGGACATCGCACTTGCCCCGAATAATTCCTGCGATAACCCCGCCTCATTGTCATTGAATAATTAAATACATAAAGGACGATTCACAGAACGAGTGCCTGAGTGATGACGGCCATGTGAGTTGATGTAAGTTAAGCAGGCGAAATACACAGGTATTAAATGCTCCCAGTCGAGGCGCGAGAGAGAAAAAACGACAGCGATTTGGCAACACTGCACATACGCTCGCGAAGAAGACAGGAGTGAAGAAGCGAGGGGGGGAAAAAAAAGAAGAAGTTGAAATGCGCAAGGTGAAACGAAATGTTACTCCAATTTGCCGTATTTTCCCCGTCGTGTTTACAATTTCTGGCGCTCCATTGTTGACAATAGCCCGACAAAAACGATTGAAAAAATAAGGCGAATGCAAATCCCCGGATGACTGAGCCATTGAGAAATGCGTTGAGTGTTTTTCTCGGTAAAAATTGGAAAGTATCGGCCGCGAGAAAGTCTCGAGCGCAAACTCTCGCCAAATCAACAGGTCTGCTCCACCAAAATAAATCGTAATTGGACTCACGTGATCGGCGAACTGCGCTGGGGTGTCGGGGTGATAGTAGATTGGATTGAGTCGAGGGTATCAGGAGTCCAGGTAGTCTTCAAGCACTTTCAGTTGCACGCTGACACACCACACATCACTGACCATAATTCACGCGACACTATTTTTTTTTTCGGGGGTTTCAGACCGGCGACACAACTGTTGACATTGGCGAACTCACGGGCGATGTAAACTGTAATCCATAGTCTGTTCACTGAGGCGGGAGTCGAGATGTCGAGGGTTGGGGATTGACGGGAGGAGATTAATTCATTAGGTGGTTGAGTGGATGGAAATAAAGGAAATTTGTAGCGCAAGGGGAGACGCGGAGGTTCGATGTGAGCGGTGCGCGTTGCCGATGAGTACTGAACGGCGGGGATTGGGCTCGCGGCCAACTGGCGTGGCTCGGTCGGCATGGAGGGGCGGGCACCAACGGGGGGAGCAGTTTTCGCGGCGACTGTACTTTTGAAACGGTTGACGCGCGGGGATTGGCGGTTTTGGCGGGAAATTCGGAGTTTGGGGCGCTGTTTTTGGTTTAGGGGCTTTCATTTCGCACAGACCACACATAGATAGGGGGGGTTGGGGTAAAACGGACACTTTTGACTTTTTTTTTAATGTTAATGACGGGCTGAAATGGCGATAAAATTTAATTTTTTTTCGCTGCAAAGAACAATTCTTTCACTTTGTGATGAGCTAAAAATTTAGAAATTGATAATTTGTTTCTGAGTTATTAGTAATTAAAACAAAAGTCTAGTGTCCATTTTACCCCGCTCTTGCCTACAACCATTTTCAATTGTCGAATTTGATAATTACATTGCGGGGAAAATGAAGAAAATCATGAAGAGGGGAGGGTAGGGTAAAATGGACACTTTTGACTTTTTTTTAAATGTTAATGACGGGCTGAAATGACGATAAAATTTAATTTTTTTTTCGCTGCAGTGAACAATTCGTTCTCTTTGTGATAAACTAAAAATTGAGAAATTGATAAATTTGTTTCTGAGTTATTAGTAATTAAAACAAAAGTCTAAAGTGTCCATTTTACCCCGCTCTTGCCTACAACCATTTTCAATTGTCGAATTTGATAATTACATTGCGGGGAAAATGAAGAAAATCATGAAGAGGGGAGGGTAGGGTGAAATGGACACTTGATTTTTTTGAAATATTCATGACGTGTTGAATCGTTCATGAAATGGAATGATTTCTCCTTGTGATGAGCTTAGAATTCAATTAATAAATCTGTTTCTGAGTTATGAATATTTAAAAAAAGTCAAATGTGTCCATTTTACCCCGCCTTCCCCTACTCAGCGTCATTAATTTGTCAAATGTAGGTATTGTTAAGCCCTATCGATCGTCATTAATTAAAATTTAGTTGATCGATTTTTTTTTATTTTCGAATTTTTTTGAAAATCACTTGTCCCAAGATAGCTAAAAAATATGTTCTGAATTGATTGAATGATGGCTTAACAAATTTGTTTGGATGTCCTTTTGGCCGAGTTCGAAGATGAAGGCGATAGCAATAATCGTTATTTTGATTAATTTGAAAATTTGCAAAAATTTTGTATTTTTTGAAAATCAGAATCCCGGGGATATCTTTGAATATCATGCTTCAAATGAACTCAATCATAGCTTAAAATGAAATCTACATGATAGAAGGAAATGATGTGCAAAATACCCATTGAGAAGGATATTGCTAATTTTTATTTAAAAAATTGCAATTTTTAAATTAATTCATCAATCTTCCTCCAAAAATAAACTTTCTAATTTTTTGTCAGATTCTTAAAATGCTTTCCAACGGTTCACTATCGAGATTCAAATTCAGTCTTGCAAAGTTTAAATGATAAAATCGTTCTAAAATGTCCGGAAAATTGCAGTCAAATGGAGCTCGAATGAAAGCTCTGATAGAATTCCATTGGATTCCCAGCGAACTTCTGTTAAATCGTATGTTGGAATCAAGGCAAAATGTGGGGAAACAATATAACAACGTTCGTTAATTTGTCACAGCTGCAACGTTTCGCTGAATATTTTAGTTTTTGCCTCAGTACTGGCTATTGAATAGTTACTTGTCTGGCACGCAAACGCCCGTGGTTCAAACCCTCCACAAGAAAAATGCACTCACTTAACATAGCATCAAACATAATTCACCACCAATCCAGCCAACTTCTCTGAAAACCAAAAACTATTAAAGGTGTGGGTAAAAAATTATGAAATCATCCTTCATTCCCAGCTTTAATTACAATGACAAAAAGTTGCAGATCAATTCCCCTCCATCAGCCAAGAAATAATCTGTGTACAATCATGATTTTCTCACCAAACGTTTTTACAATTTCCCTCCAGAACCTTCTGATTTTAAATTCCCCCCCAAGCTCAATTTTAATAAAATATTCATTTGTAAAAATTGAAAATGCTGCTCCCCCCTCCCCCCACCAATTATCGCCGTCCAAGTTTCCCAATCAATCCAATTACCCCAAAACACATTCTCCATCATCCCCATCACAATAATTCATGAGCTGAGTCCCCTCCAAAATAATCAATTACAAAATAATCAGTGATGTTCCACATGAGCGAGGTACGACGTATCACAATATTAAATCCTGCAGTTCCTTCAGGAGTTCCTCTTCCTTTTTAATTTTGTCAAGCTGATTGACCTCCAGTTGTTTCCCAACCGTCAACTGTTCCTTCAATTTAGTGATTTGTTCCAATTTGCTCTTGATCTTCTTGATCTTCTTGTTCTTCTCAGGATCGTCAGTGAGATCGGGATCGCCAGTCTTCTGCCGACCCCTCGGAGGATTCTTCAGCTGTCCATTGGTGGTGAGAGCTGCTGGCCCCTCAATCTCCTTCTTCGCCCTCTTGGCCTCTCGTTTCTTCTTGGCCTTCAACGCAGCCTTCGAGGGCTCTGACTTGACAGGTGCATCATCCTCGTCGTGCAGCTTGAAGTTTATCGTCTGACCCCTCGCCGAGGGGGGCCTGTACGCCTGCTTCGAGGGTTGGGGCTGACTAGGTGCTATTCCCTCGACAGCTTTGTAGCTAATTGTCTTCTCGGGAAATGTGGCCGAGGGGTAGACTCGCCAGAGCACCTCCCACAGCTCCTCCTGCTTGTTCCAGGGCCTCTCGTAGAGGAGGGTCCCTGTGTAGTGCCAGATCTTGAAGCCATTGGCCACCCTCAGCCGAGGGGCTGTTGTCGCTGTCATAAAGTGCTCGCCGTCTGGTGACCACTGCAGCAGAGTCGTGTCCGCTGCCTCAGCTTTAGCTATCAGTTTCCTCTTCGAGGTGTCCCAGAGCTCGATCCCTCCGCGGAGGTTGCCGAAACCACCCAGAAGGAGGATGTTACCCTGGGGGTTGTAGTAAATGCTGTTACGGTGCTTCTTGCCGAATTCGAAGACTGGCTCGCACTTCAGGTTGAAGAGAGTCGCCTTCGACGGCATCAGACCGTAGATCACACAGAATTCTGTGTTCTTCGGGGACCATTCTACTGCGTGGATTGGACCGTCGTCACCTGGTCACAATTTTTTGATTGAAACATCGATTTTTTGGTCGTGAAATTTCTTTGGGAATGAAAAAAATGTGAATGAATGAATGAATGGGATTTTTTTATCATTTTTTAATGATGGAATTGGGAACTGGGATATATTTTTCATTTTTTTCATTTTTCATAATTATTTTACTTACTTAGAGTGACCATTGCAGTCTCTCCGGACACACTGACATAGTGCAGTGCCTGTTTTCCGTAGTAAGAGCTACCAGTTTTATCCACATCCATGCTAGTTAAGATGAGGGCACTGGTGCCTTTCTGATTCCAGTGGATGTCGACTCTGTCTGCCTGGAAGAAGCTCTTGTTGGCGAGGGACTCGGTAGTTTCGAATTTTGGGTACTCGAAGAGACGAGCGAACGACGGCTCTCCAGGTTTTCCTGGAATTAATTCATCTGCATTGGAGATTCATCTGGAGATGGGGGTAAGTCCCAAAAAATTTTTCATTGGAAAATATTCAATAGAAAAAATCAATAGAACTCGATTTCTCCATTGCTTTCTTGTTTGATTTTTTTTTAATGGAAGGACAACAAAAATAAAGCGGAAAATACTTGGAAAACTCATAAAAAACCTGGGGAATTCGACAGAAAATTCGACTGGATTGCTATTGAATTTTTTAGGAAATTCTACTGATTTTTTTCTGTGAAATAGTTTCGGTTGGATAATTTTATGGGAACAAAAGTGTTATCTACCTGGTAAATAACAGATGACGTGGTAGGGAGCATCTCCAGATCCAATTCTGAATTTTCCTACCTTCGTTGATTTGAATTTATACTTCACTGTTTCGAAGTCAGCATTTTCGTAGAATGTCACGTCGTTATTTATCAGGATTCCACAGAGCTTTTCGTCGCTGGACCATTGTGGTTTCCTAGAGATAATTGTGGAATTAATGGGAGTGAACGATTAGATTTTGTATTTTTTTTTTTAGTTTTTACCAATCGCTCTGTCTTTTCTGGGTGAAACTCTTGACAAGTTCTCCATTCTCTGATCTCCATATGTGCAGTTGGGGGTTACCTTGAGGATTCGCTTGAGACACTAGAACCAAAAGACGATGAGGTAAGGCGATTTCATTTCAGAACAGAAGATTGATGAGTTTTTATAAATATTTGAAAATCTAAGAGAGATAGCAGAATTTTTGTGGAATACTTTTTTATGGAGAATTTCAAGAGCTAGAAAAAAGTTTCCTATAAATATTTTGTTATCTCTCTTAGATTCCAAGATATTACTGAAAAAATGGTAATATTACAGAAATTTAATACTGATGGCGATCCCTGGAAATTTCCCCAAAATTGTTTTAAAATTTTCTATTACTCTTCTAAAACTGTCTATTTCTCTTAAATTCCAAGAGATTCAGCAAAAAATCACCATGAATTTTAATTTTCCCCAATTACGAAACTGGAATAAAACTTGAATTGGAGAAAATTGATGATAAATTTACCAATAAAAGGTTCCCAAGTCATGAAATAATTTCCCAAGCTGGAGAACTTGATGGCGCAGACTTTGGGCTTCTGGAGGACAGCGACAATCTGCCAGGAGCTGCAGAGGGCGATTTTGACGGAGGGGCCAGATATCCAGGCGAAGTAGCGACCGTCCGGGCTGAATGTCATAGCCTTGCAGGATTTACCGTCGTCCTTCTTGAAGGACGACACCTCGATGTACGAGGGAGGGCCATTGCTCATAGCAATGCCGGTGGAACCCCGCACTGGAGGCAATTACCATCACAATTGTACAACAAATTAATCGATTATTTGAAATGGAAAATGTTGATTGACTTGAAATGGGAAGTTGGGGCCGAGGGATTGCCGTGGACAGCATCTCAAATCTCAATGGAGCAAGTTGCACGGAGAAATCAAATGAACCTAACCTAAACCCAAATGTCAACAGAGCAATCACTAATTTTTCGCTGACGATGGGGTCGAGGGTCTCGTTAAACTAATTGAGGTGAAGGTCAGGGGAATTTCTGGAAATTCGCCGGGGGGACAAGTGCGGGGGCTGGGGTATCAGATTGTTTTGATAACTCACCAGCAAGACAAGGAACAGGTAACGCCATTTTCCTTCCTCAGCTCTCACCATGCGGTGCACAGCGTCACAACCACACAACCACGTCCATCGCACGATCTCGTGGGCTTTGGGGAGGTGTGGGTTTGTTTATGTGGGGCATCGCGGACTTTTTTCGAATTATCTGTGAACTTTGACTCGGCTGTTCTGTCTGTTCCAACAATTCATCATCCCGTTGTTTATTATCCGGTAATTATCGTAATTGTGAGTTTTCCAGGGGAAAGTCGACTTTCGGCAGAATCGAATTTTTTAGCCAGGTGAACGTTGATTCCAACTATTTAAGCGNTGGGCTATCCAGAACTCTCAAAAGTATGTGGAAAAATGAAAACTGAAAAAGTTTTTTTTTTCAAATTTTCAAAGGGTCAAGAAAAAATGAAAACTGAAAAAGTTTTTTTTTTCAAATTTTCAAAGGGTCAAATTTTCCGTTTTTCCAGGGGGAAAGTCGACTTTTGCCAAAATCGAATTTTTCAGCCGGGTGAACGTCGATTCTAACTATTTAAGCGACGGGCTACTCAGAACTATCAAAAGTATGTGGAAAAAGTGAAAACTGAAAAAAAAATTTTTTCACCGGGGGCCAAAGGGCCAGATCTAGAATTTTCCCCAAAAGTCGATTTTCGCCAAAATCAAATTTTTCCGTCGAGTGATCGTTGATTCTAGGGAGCGATTTTGCTTTATGTCGACATAAAACGAGCAAAATCGTTCCCCTGCATCTACTAACGATTCCGATCCCAATGAACTGCTGAAACATTCGCAAAAAAATAGTAGCGCCAAGTGGATCGCCGCCATGACAGCAGTCGGTCGCTCCGTTGTAAACATCAGTCCCGCGAGACAATAACAGACGGCGTCTCGTGTTTACATTCTCTCAATTGTTCTCCTTCGAATGCCCTCTCACGTTTCCCACTGTTGAAGCCAGTTGAACATGTTTTGACGTGCGACTAAGATGGCGGTGTTTTTCAGTGGTAGCTCGTAATGTGGTTGTGTTAAAATTCGTTATTTTGTTGTGCTTCGGTTGTATTGAAATTGCCAGTGGAATAATGGAGGCGGGGGCCAGTGGCGGTGCGAGAACCACGAGGTTCATGATGGAGGGTGTCGGTGCCAGGGTCATCCGAGGGCCCGAATGGAAATGGGGGAAACAGGTTAGGTCACACTTCTCACGAGATTATTTTCCTTTGCACTAATTATTAATTTTTGGGGCAAAAAATTTTCATTCCGAGCTTTGTGGCTTCGATCTGGGTTCAAGAGGCCTTTTCACAACTTTTTTGACGCGGCGAGACGATTATTTGCGGGAGAGGGAGAATTTTGGAGTTTATTTACATGGGAAATCAAGTTTCATGCTTTAGTTATTTGTTGCGATTAAGTTATTATTTGTGTGAGGGTTTTGCAGTTTAGTTCGAGAACCTTTTCAGTAGTTTTTCAAGCATCAGAGGACAATTTGTTACGTGAGGATCAAAGAGAAGTTGTTTATTTACATGAGAGAATGTCTAGTGATTTATTTTTGTGAATTTTCTTCGATTATTCGTTTTAATTATTTGATAATTCATATTTTGGTTTCATAATTGAGAGCAAGACCTTTTCCATTATTATTTTAAGGTTAGGAAATATGTTTGGGTGAAGATGGAAGAGAAATAGTTTGTTTACAAGAGAGAATGCCTGAATTGATTTATTTTTATGAATTTTCATCTATTATTCATTTTTAATTATTTTATAATTCATATTTTGGTTTCATAATTCAGTTCAAGACATTTTCCATCATTATTTCAACATCAAATGGTTAGTTTTTTCTGTGAAGATGAAATAGAAATTATTTGTTTACAGAGAGAATGTCTGAATCGTCTCATTTTTTATTAATTCTCACTCTTTATCAATTCTAATTGATTGATAATTCACATTCTGGTGTTATAATTTAGTTCGAGACAATGAAATAGAAATTGTTTACCTACATAAAATACTCATTGAATTGATCAATTTTTACGAATTTTTATTCATTATCGATTTTAATTATCAAATAATTCGCTTTTTGTTTCCCTAAGAGTTTCAAAAACTCTGTTCACCATTCTTTGAGCCTCAAAAGACGATTTTATAATTCTTGTTTCATTCTTCATTTTATTTTTCATCGTCTGAATTTATCTACTAAAAACCAAAAATTTGTTCCTCAGGATGGGGGAGAGGGACATGTGGGGACTGTCAGGAATTTCGAGTCCCCAGAGGAAGTTGTCGTGGTCTGGGACAACGGCACAGCAGCGAATTACAGGTGCTCAGGAGCATTTGATCTTCGTGTGCTCGATTCAGCCACGACTGGTGTGAAACACGATGGCACAATGTGTGACACCTGTCGCCAGCAGCCCATCTTTGGCATCAGGTGGAAGTGCGCTGAGTGTGGCAACTACGACTTGTGCTCTATTTGTTATCACGGGGACAAGCATCATCTCAGGCACAGGTTCTACAGGATCGCGACTCCAGGGAGCGAGAGAGTCCTGCTGGAGCCCAGGAGGAAGAGTAAAAAGGTATTTTGGGGAGTTTTTGAGGATGTGGAGTAAAACATCCCGTGGAATGTTGATTTATCTGGGTTGTGAGGGGGTTTAAGATAAAATGTCATAAGACATTTTATGTAGAAAATTTAATTCTCCACAGAAATGTTCTTATAGCATTTTCTCCTAGAGCCATTAATTAACGAGATATCTACTAAATTAATGAAGGGAATCTACAATGCCGAATTCAAAGAAATTTACATGTTGTTAATTACCTAATTATCTTGGTGATGCGTGGATTTAAGGTAAAATGTGAGAGGACATTTTTTGTCGGAAATTTAATTCTCTAGAAATAAGTTCTTATGATATTTCGTCCTAAAACCACTCGTTTTTGAGATAACGAACCATTTAACAAAATGGAAATGAGAGTTTTCGCCCCATAACATCCATTATTAATTCCTGAATGATTTATTCTTCTAGATTGCCATCAGAGGTATCTTCCCAGGTGCTAGAGTAGTCAGAGGTGTTGACTGGCAGTGGGAGGATCAGGACGGTGGTAATGGCCGTCGAGGCAAAGTCAATGAGATCCAGGACTGGTCAGCAGCCAGTCCTCGTTCGGCTGCCTACGTTATTTGGGATAATGGGGCTAAGAATCTGTATCGTGTGGGATTCGAGGGCATGGCTGACCTGAAAGTTGTCAATGATGCTAAAGGGCAGACTGTTTATCGAGACCATTTGCCATTGCTGGGGGAGCAAGGGCCAGGGAGGACTGGTCCTCATGGATTACAAATTGGGGATCAGGTGAGTCATTAATCAATGAAATTTTCAATTCGTGTGCATTTTTTTTTCGTTATTTTTATTGATATTATGAATTGAGGATTCAATTTATTTAATGAATTAAATAAATTTTTCAAAAAAATTTGTAAATTTATTCTTATTTTTATTGAATAAATTCATTAATTCATTTGATAAGTTTATCATTTAACCATTGAGTTCGTTTTAAAAAATCCTTTTTAATGGAAATGACTCAGAAAATTTCTTCTTACAATTTTTTTAATCTCACGAAAGAATGTTTTAATTAATTCAAAAAACTCGAGAGCTAAAAAATAAATGAAATGTCTCGAAAATTAATGAATTAATGAATAATTAATAAAATATCTCCATTTTCTCAACTCTGCTATTCCCCAAATTTTGAAAAATTTTGGAATTGTAAAGAATAGGTCTCGTTTTAGTGTCGAAAAATAATATTTTTATTTTGTCAACAGGTTAATGTAGACCTGGAGCTGGAAATAGTTCAGTCCCTCCAGCATGGCCATGGCAGCTGGACAGATGGAATGTTCGAGTGCCTGGGGACAACTGGAATTGTTGTCAGCATAGATGAGGATCATGACATCGTTGTTTCGTACCCAAGTGGCAACCGTTGGACATTCAACCCAGCTGTTCTGTCCAAAGTACAGACCCCAGTGCCTGTCACTACCTCCACATCTGACAATCAAACATTTGCTGTTGGTGATCTAGTTCAAATTTGCAATGACCTTGAGAAAATTAAGCTGCTGCAGAGGGGACATGGCGAGTGGGCGGAAGCCATGGCACCTGTGAGTTGTATTATTTTATATTATTTAGTTATTTTTTGGCCATTTTACTTTCAACTTGACGAATTTTTGGGTTTTTTGAATCTATAATTTATTGGTTTTTAGATATTGGGAATAAATTTCTTCATTTTTCATGTTTACTTATTTTACAAAAGACGTTTCCTCTAATTCGTGATGGATTTTTTTTACATTTATGACATTTAAAAATGAATAACAACCAGTTGCGAACATTTTTACAATTTATCTCTCTAAAATTGGTATTTTACTTTGAACTTCTCGAATTTTTGTGTTTTTTGAATTCATAATTTATAGTTTTTTAGACATTGGGAATAAATTTATTCATTTTTCGTATTTGTTTCATTTTTAATTTCTTGATTTTTTTTTTTCAGACACTTGGAAAAATTGGTAGAGTCCAGCAAATTTATCACGATGGAGACTTGAAAGTCGAAGTCTGCAGTACCTCGTGGACATACAATCCCCAGGCCATTATCAAAGTTGCCAGTAGTGATGGGAGTGTCCCAGGAAATAGCAATGGTGGTGAGTTTTGATGAATAATCTCTTGTGTTTATTTTTTAAGAATTTTCATTCATAAAAAAAATCGAGAGATAACAGTCGTCATTTTTTTCAACAATTGAGTCCATGAAAAAATGTGAAGAAGCATTTTTTAATTGGATTTCTAATTATTCTTTAAATTTCAAGTCAATTAAATTTCAATTCAATTTAAATTTAATTACCATTTTAATTGACATTTTAAATATCAAAGACAAATGTGAAAAAATATTTTCTGTTTGAGATGACATTTTCTAAGAAATTTCGCCTCATGTTTTATCATAAAACTGATGGTTTTGGAGTTTTAAAAATTTTCCTGAGAGTAAAAAATTTTTTTTAAGCGTTGAATGTCGAATTAATGAAAAAAATTTATTTGTTTGTTTCAGAACGGTTGTCTGCACTGTTGAAGAAATTATTTGAGACTCACGTCTCTGGGGATGTTAACGAGGAGCTGGTTAAGTCAGCAGCTAATGGCGATGCTGCCAAGTGCGAGGAATGCCTCAAACGTCTTGATGCTGACGTCAATGGGGTTTTTGCTGGGCATACAGCACTGCAGGCAGCGAGTCACAATGGACATCTCGATGTCATCAAGATTCTGCTGCGGTATAAAGCAGATGTGGAAATTGAAGTGAGTTTTATCCCAGATAAAATGATTTTTTGCTATTTTTTGTAATTTAATTGAATAATTTGATGATCTCCATTCAATTTTCTTTTTAAAAAATGTGTGGAATAACTTGAACTGTTGCCATTATCGAGAATTTAGACTTCTTATGGTGAATGATGACCAATGACGAATTCATTTTTCACCTCAAAAACAATTCGATTTCTTGAACCATCCAAAGTACTTGTATATCTCAAATTCCATAATTCTTATTATTTCACTTCTCCTCAGGACAAAGATGGCGATCGTGCTGTGCATCACGCAGCCTTTGGTGATGAATCAGGTGTAATGGCCCTAGTTGCTGGTGCTGGAGCTGATTTAAATGCCCGAAATAAACGACGCCAGACAGCTCTTCACATTGCTGTAAATAAAGGTCATGCAGGCGTTGTTCGTACGCTACTGGAGCTAGGCTGTCATCCGAGTCTTCAGGTAAGTGCAAGTAATAGTCACAACCACTCAATAATTCGTCATCTGTGTGTTAAACATTCACAGAATTTTCCCAAAAATGATGACAAAATTTCTGGGATAATTCATAATTACGGAGTTGCTTAAACATTTCACATGCACATTACTCTTTTCCAAAAAGTTTTGTGAGAGGGAAAATTTAATCTAAGTGCTGTTTGAAAGTGAACTCTGTTTTTGGAGAGTTTCGTGGGGGAGTAAGAGCAGTGAGATCCAGCGGTTTTAGCTACCCCCACCCCCTCCGCCTCAACCTCCACCTCAACATGCCTGAATTAGCGTTAATTCACGTTTGTTAGGGAGCAATATCTCCTCATTTGCAGGAGTCTTAATTAATCCAGTTATCTGGCCTGGGGATTTCACGAATTCCACCTGTGTTGTTATATGAGTGTCATGGGGGTGTATTTGTGCACGTGGTGTGCATAATCAAGACACACGTATCTCGTACATTTTGGTGGGGAATTGTTGGGTCGACCACTTTGGGTTATTTCAATGAGAGATTAGGGGGATTTTTGGGGTTTGTCGGGTGGTTTTGTGCATCTGTTTCTATTCAATGTTTTTAGGCCCTTTCGATATTCCTGCTTTCAATTAATTGTTTATAGTCATTCTCATTGCAAAAGGCAATACGATCGGTGAGAATCATATGTCGCAATTAAATGATTTGTTCATGTTATAATTCCTGCACTCACTGAATAAGATTTCAATCATAATTGCAATTCAATTCCTTGTAGAACACAGTTTGGAGTGTGAATTTCTGGAATTCAATGTTTGTCATGTTGTATTTGGATATTAATATTATTTGTTCAAAGTGAAAAAATCGATCATCATTTTCACTATATTGCATTCACATTCTCCTATCATTAACGTCAAAAATGTGAGATAATCTCATTATTCTAGCTATTAATTCTAATCAACTTTGTTCGAAGAAAACCTTAGTAAACGCAATATTAAGAAAGTTGAATTATTCTATTTTCCTCTGATCAAAATTATTTGGACAAGTGAAATGGTATTCAATTCTCTTTTGATATTGCCATTGCCATTTTTTCAAAGAAAGAATTACAAAGCTTCCACTCCGAAGCAAAAATATCTAAATATAGTAGAAAATTAAAAAAAACGTTACACTGCACATTTTGATTTACGTTAATTGCTAATTTATACAATTTTCCCTGCTTATGATACCACGAATGCAATATTTAACTTGTTCAATTGCTTCGCTGTCTCGCCCACCATGATTTGCAACTATTGCTTATTGTTCCTCTCCTCCACCCCCCCGAGCAATGTATGCGCTCGTAAATTCCATGCCTCATGTCCCTTAAATTTTCCCTCATATTCCCTACAAACTTTTAAAAAAATTTCAATTCTAGTTTATACGATTTTTTCGTTATTTTCGGGGCGATGTATTTGGGGAGTTGAATCACGTGCGAAAATCGATCGAGGGGACCGAGGAATTGTCATGAGTATCACGAGTTTATTTTCTGGGTGTGGGAGACTGGTACCGAACGCCAATGAGGATTAATCACACAGTGGGACAAACGAGCGAGTCTCGTTTCTTTTCGGAGAACTGGACAACTCAATCTTTTTCGACAATGTTTTATGTTTCACCTAGTTTGTTTCATCGTTTCGGGACTGCAGATGTCCGGTTGTTCAAAAGTTTAAACTAGGAATTGTGACCCTTGAGACCCGAATTTTCCTAGTGGTTTTTAGGGTTTAGAAAGGGTTTGAATAGCCCTTGCGACCCTTTAATCAGGGCTTGAAAAGGGTTTAAAGAGCCCTTTTGGTTCATTCAAGGGGTTTTAAAGAGCTTTTCGACTCTTCAATAAGGGGTTAAGGTTCAAATAGCCGTTTCGGCTTTTCAACAACAGTTTAAAAAGGGCTTGAAGACCCCTTTTGACCTTCAATTGGGGTCTAACAAGGGTTTAAAGACCCTTTTTGACCTCCAACAGGGTTAAAGACAGGCTTAAAGACCCTCAGGGTTTAAAAAAGCTTCAAAGATCCCTCTTGACCCTTTAACAAGTTCTTAAAGAGGGTTTGAAGAACCCTTTCGACCCTTTGAAGAGAGTTTCAAGAAGATTTACAAAAGGTTTAAAGAGCCCTTGATCTTCCGCCAGGGGTTAACGAGGGGTTAAGAGCCTGTTCGATCCTTTAACAAGTTCTCAAAAGGGCTTAAAGAGCCCTTGCGATCCTTGCGGCCCTCAATACCAAGAGACTATCCTTTATCTCCGAGCTGATCGGCTCAATCTTTTTCAACGTTTCATCCAGTTACATTTCATCGCTTCAGAATCCTTTAGATAACATCAGGTCATTCCAAACTCTGACCGGAAATTCCATGTGATTTGTTGGTCATTCTAGAGACACTGTTCCGAGATGATTCTGATAGAGTAGATGGTCGTCAATTTCATGTGTTCATCTTGCTGTAGCTAGGCAATGTCGAACATTTTATGGTTTTCCCCACGTATATGGCACACCAGTATAAATCACATGAACGTGGGGGCGGGGGAGGGGGGGGTGATGAGGGGTCGAGAGAGGGTGGGGGGGAGGAAATAATGTATTCGTTGAAGTTTCAGGACATTACCGTTGTGACATTGTCGTTAAAATGGTAGTTGATGGTGAGAAAGGGGTGGAGAGTACCTCTATTACCAATCCAATATCCAAGTGAGGGTTATATGGCACAGGGAATGTGTCTCACATGGATACGGTATCATCTCAGGGCCATCGATGTGTCTATAAACCATATCTGCTGACAGCGACTGTATTTTTCGACAAAAGTTACGTCTGGGGAGAATACATTGTGCAGAAAGTTAAAGAGCATTGGGTAGACAGGGGGAGGGGGGGAGATGTTTTTGGGGTGGGGTTTTATTCAGGGGTGGATTTACGCATGGATCGTAATTTTAACATACTGGGGTGGTCAGCAGAAAAGGACTGAGTCCTGTATTGGGGGAGGTTGTGACAATATTTTATGCTTCTTTGGAATTTGTTTTTTTTTTTTTTTTTTTTTTTTTTTTTTTTTTTTTTTTGTGAATGAAGACTTGGATTTGGCTGGATGAGAGGGTCCTCTTGCTTAATCTCGGTTAGCAATGAAATTCTTGAGACTTAACGACACTTTGTTGATGGTTATTTAGGACAAGTAAAATTGAAAATGTAATTGTCAAAGTATTTCTGACGAATTGTCTTCATCTTAATCTTGGTCAGACTAGGGAGTAGCAGCTTTTTGGTCATCTAGCTTCTTGATTTTACCCAGATGTCCGAAATGAGCCCTCCCAATGCAGAATTTCCACTAAAAACTCCCTCCACCCGTACAAATTCCCTCCCCAATCATCACGAACCCCAATTCAATAGTTAATTTAATGTCTCAAGTCTTCGGTATATACGTAGCAGTGTTGATGTGATACTTCAGATGTTAAAGTAAATTGAATGTACGTTTGATAAAACTTGAGAACCACTGTCTAGTGGAATCCACTGGAAATAGGATCGAGGGGGTTTGGCTGAAATAACAATGGTATCAGAAGGCAAAGTATTACGAACCGATCCCAGTGTGCTTTCTATAGCCCTCCCCTTCAGTCCCTCTTCTCAGGGTATATCAACTCAATACCCTTTTCTTACCGCACTATTTCCTATACCAGGGTGTGCTTGGTCGAACGCTAAAACTAATACTCTTTCGATAGTAACTCCAGTACTAGCTCCAACGATTCGTATAGCTCGGTGGAATAGGGAGACTGGAGAGAACAAGACCAATGTAATTACTTTCGAATGGCGATTTAACGCATCAACCTCCACCAAGGCAAAAGACCCCTCTATATCGTGTAGATTCGTTGTCTGTGTCTGTTGGGGATTTTCGTCCATTTTACAGTGAACACCATCGATCCTTTAACAAATTTGCGTAAATACTGGAGATAGCTAACGGGAGACAGTCACTTTTGAATTTCCCATGGGATTCTTGGTGCCGTTGGTTCTTTTGTCAAACGAGAATTTCGATTTTGCTTTTAACTTACGTACGGCGTCATGGGATGGACATCAAAATTGCTTTGTTTTTCGTGGTGATGCATCGGGAGAGGTGACAATTAATGGAGGAATTTTAGAAAATAAAATGAATTATTTTTATTTCGGGGAACTTCCGTATGACCCTCATCTTTCTTATTCTGAGCCCTGTGACCCTTAATTTCACCCTCGTGACCCTTAAACTGATTTTTGTGACGAAATGACAGAATAAACAATTTTTTTTTTCACCTGGGGCCAAAGTTTCATGCAAAATCGTATTTTTTTGTAAAAAATTGAAAAAAAAATTTTTCACCTAGGGCTAAAGTGTTATAAAATCCCTCTGAAAAAATAGTGGTAGATTGAAATTATTCAAGATAATGGCAGTGTTTTCCTCAATTGTGCAATCTTAATTTCGAGTACCAAATTTTGCTCACCAGAAGTCGATTTAAGTTTCCATAAACCAGAGAGAAATGAATGAATCAACGAATTTTAAAGTGAATGGATGAATTAATGAATTTAAAAATGAACGAATGAATTAATGAATGATCAACAGAGATGTTTTTTTTTTTTACGTCAATTTGTCCAATGAATTTGCAGCAATCTCTCTTCTCCATTTACCGTACGTGAACGTGGACTTTAATGTGATCAATTAAATTGTGCAGATTCCCATGGCATTGATTGTCCGTTAGAATAGCCGAGCGGACAAACCGATAGAACGAGTTGAATGTATTGGTTTGCCAAGCAAAGCCCACGTTTCACACGCACATGCCCCCCCCCCCACGAAAAGCTCTCCTTTAACGTTACGATGTAGTATAAAGCTGGCACAGTGGGTTATAGCCGCAGTTTTAACAGCAATTCCCCTCCGGGATCCGTTGGATGTAGGCCACCAAGAGTCAACGTCCCACAGTCTACTCATTTTTTTACGAGTAATTTCACGTTCTTTTTTTTTTGCTTCTTACTCCCTCCAATTCTTCACATTTTACATCTCGTCCGGT